TATATACACATTCATCATAATACAGGCTACAGAATATCAAAATACTATTAAAAATTGTCTTACCAAAGAAAATTTCAGTTTCCGAATCAGCACTAATAAATGAAAATATAAAAAATCCAACAATAAAACAACACACCCCTGCATACTTCTTTCTATAGTTCCAGTATCAAACTACACACAGGGAAACACTGGTGGAGATAATCACAGGTTCTTTTCATGTCACCGGATCATATTTGATTTTTATGTGATTTTAAATATCATGTATATAATTAAAGACTTTAAGTACATTCATACTTGCACACACCCATCGACCTACTCACACACACCCACACATGCACTTTCAACTACTAAATCAGAAGCAACACTCGGCTTGGATCATAAAAGAAAAAAATTTATGCGACCAACAACTAAATTATTCACTTGCAGAGATCCAAAAATATAAAATAGAATTGTGGCACACAAGATAACATATACAAAAGCAAAACAAAACAAGATTTTTGCATTCTTTGACTAAAATACAATACACAAAAAATCTCTCACTCGGGAATGCTTTGTGATTACAAGAAAATTAACCTGATTTCTTGCTTCATTCTCAGCTATGCCTTCATAAATGTTTAACTAACTTCATTAAAATATATCAAATATATTACTTTCTTCTTCTACTTTGGGTTCTTCACTGGTTCCTTAGTGGAAATCACTCATTTATCACAGGATATTGAGCATGATAATCATGAAATATAATTCTTGGTAACAATCCACTTTAGGGGATTCAACCTCTCACCTCATCCTTTTCTGCATACTATAAATCATTTAATATCAGTTATGAATTGGGTATTTCATAATGGTTTATAAAGGTTCTGTCTCTTTGTCTTCTCCTTCCTGGTGATAAGACACAGCCTCTTGCTTCTCCTTACACTGTGGATATCAATGCTTGTGCGTTTCCTCCTTCGTGTGCTGACTAAGTTTGTCGTAGCCGTCACACCACAGGACCGAGATTGAGACTGTGTCACCCGCCGGCCATCCATTACGTCGCATCCATTGGTTTTGTCACTGGAGTATTCCTCTTCCAAATAGATCTTCCCCTGGTCGCAGCGGTCCTCGTGCGGCTTCTTGACGTGGCATGCAATGTGGACCAGCTTGAGGTTGCCTTCCGGATCCTCACCTTCCTTCTCGCGCTTGTGCTGGAAGAGGAGGCTGTGGAAGTAGGGCAGGTTGACGGACTCTGCCCTGGGCCCCTTGAGAGCCTTCTTGAGCGTGGGGAGGATGGCGCGGGACTTCTCAATTCTGGAAGGTTTCAAGCGCTTTTGTTAGTGAGGGATGAAACAAAAGGTAGAGAGGAGAAGGGAGAAGAATATTTCTGCAGAGCTATAAATTTCCTCTGATTTATGTTCTGTGTCAGATCTTTAGGCAATTAATCAATGAAACAAAAGAAGTAAAAGAAGATGACAGGGGAGGAGAAAGAGAAAAGTTATACTTAAACATAAATTATTTACATCCCATTCTCTTTACGTTTCTTTCAGAAAACCTTATATAATGAAATTGAATTCCCTTTGATATTTGGAATTGAAAAATAAATAAAAATAAAAAAAATAAAGGTAAAGAAAGAAGGAAAGACAAATAAATGCCAATGTTGAATTTTCATTAAAAATTTAATAAAAAAAAAAAAAAAGAGGAAAGGGAAAGGATGAAAAATGGAAAAAAAATGAAAAGTAAAGAAACATTTAAAAAAAGAAAGAAAAAATCTAAATGAAAAGTAATATAACTGCCCTTTCATCATCTCTTTCTTTTGCAAGTAAAGATTTAATTTCATTATTCTGCACAAGACATTGAAAGTAAAACTAACAGAATACACTGAAAAACCTGCATTATATATTTTTCCTATTGATATCAAACACATATGCAAATACCTGATCCATAATACTACACAAAACTTTATTTTAAGAGTTGATAAGACGTAAATGAATAAATCAGCCATATCATTACAAAATAATTGCAGGCAAAGGAGTACTTTCTCTGATAAAAGGAATCCTATTTTCTTGTTCGTAATTCAGGGAAAACTTGGCTACTTCTCCAGTTACATTTTACATTTTCAAGTTGTCATGAATAACACTCAATAGAAAAAAGTTATTTGATTTTAAATATATGGCTAAATGAACAGCAAAAGGTATTACCCCATTTCTTAATGTAATTAGCTTCTAGACACACACACACAATAAATTCATTAATGTATAAAAAATGAAATACGACTCACACATGGTCAAGGTTCCACGTGGAAAACACAATGCGAGCTTCTCTACATGCATAAGGGTTGATGAAATGCGACGAGAAACACCTTGACAAATCATACTGTCCCTCACACTCAAACAGACCATCTGAGTTACACAGTCGAAGGCATTTGGAAGCAGTGCGGTCGAAGTATGCTGCATTGTGCCTGCAAGAAAACGATATATGTTACCATATGCTATTAACATTGATGCTGTTATTATTGCTGTTGACATTATGATTATTATAATGCTACTAGCAATACTAATAGCAATAAGAAATAAAAAAGAATCATTCCAAAAATCAAGGAAAAGGGTAAACGGGTGGACTAAGGAGAATTAGAGATTGACTCCTTGGTGATTAAGCACTTGTGGAGCCATTTAGGTGTAAAGACAACCAATAAACAAAACGACATCATGGACACGGCATCCATTCCTACCATCCCAACAACAGTGGGTTAAAGCAAATGATCCCTCGGAATTTCTCCTCGCAAAGAAGCCCCCGCCCCCCTCTGACTCCATATAAACACCATTAAAATTTCCAACTACCTATAAATAGTCAAGAGATATTATAATCCTTCTTACACACAACCAAATTAAATCCCCTGGAATCAAGGACATTACCCGCAATTCTTCAGCTGTTGTCTGAAGAACTCTATGGCTTGTCTTGCGGGCCCACTGCTGCTCGAATCATCCGCCAAGAGCTCCTTCTTGGCTTGCTCGAAGTAGCCTCGCATTCTCATCTCCGCACTGTTTCGCATGACGGATTCCTTGGTCTTGAATTTGGTGTCCAATCCTAAGGCAAGAAGAAGAATAAGAATTTATAAAAATGTAATTAAAAAGATATAAAAAAAGCAGTGTTTTGTTTACTTTTCTTACAAAAGTGACATTTTATTTGGGGGGGGGAAGGGATTTACACAGTGAATAAAGGTTTTAACTTATGTGCATAACTACTTTCCATAACAATGAGGATCGCTGTGGTTCAGATTGCCTAGCACTACCTACGCTGAGTATTATCTAGAATCGAAGGTTAGATCTCTACCTACATAATAAACTGCATTTCCCTACCATACTTTAGTTTACCCTCTCTCTAGACTGAACTCAGTTAACAAACAGATAGAATTTTTTTAGTCCATATCAAACATTACTTTTAACAATATTAAAACCTAAATAAAACTCTGTTAGCAGCTTCTCTCCATATTATAAACTATTCTCTTTCTGTTGTATCTATTCTTTGGTAATTGAATTGATATATGGGAAACAATATGTATTTTAAATCTGAAGCCAAACTGATGCTTTCAGGTGAATAGAATTGCTGAATATACCTAGAACTATAAGCGACTTTGGATATAACAAACATGCAGAAATCTGTTAATATACTTAAAGAAATAACTAATATATTCCTTCTTTATTCTTACACATTTTTTATCTAAATGATTGAAAAGACGAAAGAAGTCTTAACTCAAATACTTTACAGTAAACCAGGAAATTATTACAATTTGTAACTGTTATTATCATAATTCTCCCCCCAGCATCTATTACTTTTTATAACTCCCTCCTTCACAAAATAATACACTATAATTCTCATATCTACGAATTCTGATAGTTATGGATTCTTAAATTGATAAATAACACATTTCTACTAAAACTAGCATGGACATTTGCTTCACTTAATAGTAAATGAAGAGTAAATTTTCAATGATACTCGATTTTTTGCTGAGAAATAGTCAGGAATATAAATGTTACAAGCTATAACAAATAATAAACTAAAATCAAACATAACACTAAATCTTTTACTTAAAAAAAATCACACTTGGGGTAAATTTTGAATCATTACAAACATGGAATCAAATCAAACCTAACCTGATGTCAAATTTGATAAAAAATAAAAATACTGGAAGACCAACCACATTCATCTATATAATACTTTTCTCTATTCCTTGAAAAGGGAAACAGGACGATGTAAAGCAGGTTATAGAAAAAAATAAAAGAAGAAAAATAAAATAGAAATGGAAACAAAAGAGACATGAGGAAAAAATTAAGAAAATGTCATGGAAGTTTGAACATGGAAGAACAGGGAATGGAAATAATAACAAGAATAATTATAACAATAATGATAATGATAATAATGTTGATAATGGTAATAAAATTAAACTAATAATAATAATAATGACAATAATTCTGAAAATCATACAAGCTATGATAATGATATTACTACTACTAATGATGAAATATCATAATAATAATAATAATAATAATAATAATAATAATAATAATAATAATAATAATAATAATAATAATAATAATAATAATAATAAAATAATAATAATAATAATAATAATAATAATAATAATAATAATAATAATAATAATAATAATAATAATAATAATAATATAATAATAATAATAATAAATAATAATGATAATTAAAAAATATGTATAATAATAATGATAATAAAGAAGTAGCTTATAATAACAACAACAATAGCAATGATAATAATAATAATAAAAAAAATGATAACAATAACAAAAAAATAATTATAATAATAAAAAACAATAATGGTAATAATAATGAAAGTGATGATGATGATGATGATAATAACAACAACAACAACAACAACAACAACAACAACAACAACAACAACAACAACAATAATAATAATAATAATCATAATCAAAATAAAAACAATAATATTAATATTAATAATAATAACCATGATAACCATGATTATAATAATAATTATAATATCAATAACAACTGTACCAGAAATAATAATAGTACTAAGAATACTAGTAATAATAACAATAATAACAATAATAATAATAATAATAATAATAATAATAATGATAACAACAATAATAAAAATAATAACACTAATGATAATAACAGTAATAATAATAATAATAATAATGATAATAACAACAATAATAATAATCATAACTACAACAATAATAACAACAAGTCATATAAACTACTAATAATAAAACAAATATTCATATTAATAACAATAACAATAACAAAAATACTACTAATACTAATAATAATGATAATAAAAATGGTAATGATAATGATAAATGTAATAATAACAACAATCGTAATAATAATAATAACAATAATAATAATAACAATAACATTTACAATAAAAACTAATAATAACAATGATAATGGATGAAGGTAAACAGGCATAGATATAGAAAATAAGCAAATGAACAAAGCACACCTTTAAACCACTCATTGTCGCATTTTCTCTCACTCATGGATACTAAGTCCTGCGATGATGCAGATAGCAGACCCAGAATCTCGGCCACCTTTGGGGACTGGCTCGACTCACGCAGGACACCCATAATCCGATCGTGCACTTGCGGCTGGTTCTGGAGGCAACGGTGGAGGAAGGCAGCTAAGGCTTGGATCTCCTTTGGGGCATCTTCAGAAGATGAAGAGATGTGGAGTTCGCTCCCAGGAGACACAAACTCAAAGTATTCCTCATCAATCTCTGTGTCATCGGAGAGGGCGACCTTCAGTGTTTTGTCATTCTGAAAGCATTTGGTGGCATTAGGGTTGTAAATATTTTGCATTCTTATGTATCTATTGAAGTAAACATATATGTAGATGTACATGTATATGTATATGCATATGTATATGTACATGTATATATGTATATGCATATATATATGTACATGTATATATGTATATACACATGAATATACATGTACACACATAATATATATATGCGTATACATACATATATATATATATATATATATATATATATATATATATTATATATATATATATATATATTATATATATATATATATATATATATATATATAAATACAACCAATATCCAGAATAGGACAATGTCAAGTAATTTCCATACTATGTGCTCCGTTAACTGCCAACAAATTTCCAGTGAAGCATATTTTCAAATGGTCAAGCTTGGTTTTTCACTTGTCCCTAAATCGTTAAGGATATTGAAGAGCTTCATCTCCCTAGAATAAGTATGTTGGAGGTGTGTTAACTCTGAGGTGGTGATCGCAGGCATTGTTTTGGCTAATTGACTGCGTCTTCGCTTATACAGTTGATCTGTGTAACACCATAGCAATAAATACAAATTCAAAATTTATCTATCAATTGCCATAGACACATATTATGAATAATTAAGACAAGAACAAATAATATCATCTCAAAACACTAGACAACAATAACAAGGGGAACTTAAGATGATAACAAGACAACAAATAGTAAGAAGTAAAAAATAAACAAGAAAACAATAATACATCAAGAAATAATAATAATAATTACCTGCAAACCAAACTTGTCACAACTTTTCGTAATAAACTGTCGAAAGGAAGAAACGACGAGACCAACTCTCTTGCCTTGAGGTCCAATCGCCACCAAGTTTATCTTCTTCTTCTCCATCTCTCTTCTTCTTCTTCATTATAATGTCACGAGATCTATTCCCTCTTTTGATCTTCCTTTCTCTATGTAATCATTTTTTTTAACACAAATTTTCTGGAGTTATTTGTATATTCTCTATTTTTTTCTTCCTTTATCTTTTGTCTTTTATTACCTTATGTTCTTCATTTATTACTTATTTGGCGATATCATCTTCTTCTGTCTACCCTACTCGCGTATTATAGCTTTTCTCTCATACTTTCTTCCATTACTTTCTTGTTATTTTACACTTTTTTAGGAAAAGAAAATTGTGATTTCCTCTTTGAATTTTCTGTTTTTGTTTACAATTTTTCAGCTTGAGTTGCCGCTTTCTTTTTTTATTTATCGATTATTTTCTCCCTTATTTATCGTGATTTGGTATTAAATATATACCATATGAATGTTTATCAATTTTTCTTTATGCTGATATATATTTTGTTGGGTATCTATATGCTATTTAGTAGGAAGAAAACCAAATATTAGACAAATTGTTAATATTTGAGAGCGATGTAATAGCGAACTAAATCTAGCGAAAACTTAGCGAGGATGTTTCTAGCGAACTTTATTTAGCGAGGTTTGATGATGCAAACATTAGTCATGAATAAAAATAGTGTTCTTACTATTAGAAATTATAAGGAAAATAACACGATTGTTGATGTTTTTTCAACAAAATGTTTTTATTCTGTATATACTCTTTTTTTATATTAGCTGTTATATTTTATTCACACAAATCTTAAGCGAAATATTTCAGTATCTATCTAGATTCAAAACCACTAATTTCAACGGTCATGTTCAAGATATCATTAATATTTATCAAGATAAGTGATAAGAAAAAAATGACATATCCCAGTAAGAAGACGTCAGAAAATAACGGTGATGGTGACGTTATTATCAAATGCTTGGGGGTAACTTTTTGTGGATTTTTTTTTTTTTTTCGGCAGTGGTGGAATGGATAACGAAAAACGCTTATTGTACACCACTTTAATAATATGATAATGCCAAAGTTCAGTATTTACACGGGCACAGATCCGCGAGGCTGTAACCGAGTGATTTTTTTCTTCCTTTGACACGTTTATTGAGACAAAAAGAAAGAAAGAAAGAAAGAAAGAAAGAAAGAAAGAAAAAAATCTCAAATGGGTAAGGCAACTGAGGTTAATTTGTGAGAGAGCGCGAGAGAGACTGGTTTCTCACTTGGTTATAAAGGCGATTAATGCTGAATGGGGTAGTTTACTAGTCTCTCACAATCCCCTTAAAATTCACATGATCATGCCTTAATATATAGATGATATCTATACATGCCAATAACCATATACGTAAGCATCAATGATAAATATATAACCAATATAAAATATGTAGATTTCGTATCATCTCTGATCACTGAAACTTCAGATCAGTATGGCAACATTTTCCCCCGATATTTATCACTGGCCCTGAAAAGGTAAAGATGAAATATATTTATTCTTATCTTCAAATATAGCATTACAATGGATATATGCATTCATATATTTATCATCCAAGAAACATGAGTTTTTTTTTCTTTTTTCTTAAGTAGATACGGAATTTCCCCTGTCAATGTACTTCAGATGATTCCACTGAGCTAAAAATAGTTTTCTTTTGTTTCGTCTAATATCTTTTTCCCGCCCTGTGCGTTTCCCTCCTTTGTTCAGCGTCCTATTATGTAGGAATGGCAAAACGGGATTGTTGCAAAAGCCGTGTGCAAAAAAGAACGTCCATTATGAACAAAAAAGAAATTGATTTATTTAAACAACAGATACGAATTGACTATAGTTCTTGGCCCACCGTTAATAATGTACAAAAAAGAAACAGATTTATTTAATAAGAAAAAAGAAAAACAACAACTAAAAACTGAATTCTAACAATAGTTCCGTGGCCCGCCGTCCACTAAAATGGCGGGAAAGACGATATAGAATCGATATGAGGAGACATGCTTCCATCTCCTCCTCTAGTCCTTAAAGGCCGTGTCACACTAGCACTTTTTCCGTCAATCTTTTGACAATTTTACTTAACATAAATACAAACATTCTCGAATATAGCTCTTGATTTGACTATGCTTGGCTGAAAAAGTTGACGGAAAGGTTTTCAGACGGAAGCGATCATTATCGTCTGACTGGAGAATCGACAATTCGCTCAAAAATTGACAAAATTTCAAAAAACTGCAAAATTGACGGAAAAAGTGCTAGTGTGACGGCACCTTAAGACTCATGGCGCCCTTTTCCTATTTTCCTGCCGACGAGTCCTCTGAGTCGACACGGATTCACCTTCCCTCAACGACCCCCTCCAATGAACGACCTCTTACGTCACCAAAAAAGAACTAACCCTAGATATACATTATCGACAGTATCATTATTCGTGCGCCACTGAATTTTTATATACCGCCGACAGATAATCATAATGATAAGCATGATTCCATAATTCATGAGAACTTGATAAGGTCGTGCGGCGCAGGAATTTTGGGAACCGCCGACAGATAATGATAATCATGAATTCATGGCAACTGATTAATGAGAACGATTAAATTATATATATACATATATATATATATTATATATATCTCTCTATCTCTCTCTCTCTCTCTCTTCTCTCTCTCTCTCTCTCTCTCTTCTCTCTCTCTCTCTCTCTCTCTCTCTCTCTCTCTCTCTCTCTCTCCGTAGGGGTTACACTCCATTAATTAAAACTGTGTGTAGACTTAACATTTTTAACAAATCATATTTTCTCAATATATGGCGGGGTCGTATGTACATATATACTTTTTCTTATTCATAAAATGATATAAGCAGACGTCGCAAAAAAAAAAAAAATGTAAAGATAAAAATACACAAACGTTACACACTGATCACAGCAACATAAAGCACAGGACAAAAAACACGAATTGAATCTTTACACAAGAAGGTTCCCAAATGATCAGGGCTGCTTCCGCGGCTTTGGCTTCGTGCGTCATCGAGGGCGGAAGCTGGCCCCGAGTGCTGGAAACTGGTCCTCGTCCTCGAGGCTGGGCGGCGCGACTGCCTTCTCGGGCCCTCTCCCCGCCGCCCAGGTCGCGTCGCGGTTCATCTGGATCCGCGGGCCCTCGAGCACGCCCGCGCCCCCGTTTAGGAAGTCGAGGCCAGGGCGCACGTCATACGACGCGCACACACACACACACACACACACACACACAGCACAACACACACACACACACGCACACACGCACGCACACACCACACACACACACGCACGACGCACACACAGGGGCACGCGCGTGACTGAGTGACGTCATCAAAACGAGTTGAAGCTTGAAAGTGACGTCATAAAAACAGCTCGAAAGTGACGTCATCAAAACGAGTTGAAGCTTGAAAGTGACGTCATCAAAACGAGTTGAAGCTTGAAAGTGACGTCATGAAAACAACGAAAGAGACGTCATCAGCACATTTTGAGGAGTGATGTCATCAAAACAAGTTAAAGCTTGAACATCATTATAAAAGAAAGAGAGGAAGAAAGAAAGAAAGAAAGAAAGAAAAAAACGAACCGATGATATAAAATCCTAAATTGGCATCGATCATTAATTACTAGTGTTTTGTTTATTCTTCCACTCATAAAATATATAGTGATAACAATAGTATAACAACGATAGTAACGTTTCAGGCAGGCGTTAAGTTTCAAATAATTCTCGTAAAATGGCGCCGTCTGAGCGTCTTTTGTTTCAAATAATTCTCATAAAGTGGCGCCATCTGCACGGCTTTTGTTTTAACCCGATGATGCAACGTTTGTGGAGAGGAAACGTTTGTTGTGACACTGTGTTCGGTCCCGATTCTTTGGGAACATAACACAACGTTTTATGGAGTGGAAGTGAGCTTATGTTTTGTTTTGTTTTTTCCTAGTCTGACGCGGATTCTATCAAAATTGGGACACTTTAGAACTTTCCCTGTCACGCTCTCTCTCTCTCTCTCTCTCTCTCTCTCTCTCTCTCTCTCTCCTCTCTCTCTCTCTCTCTCTCTCTCTCTCTCTCTCTCCCTCCCTCCCTCTCGCTCCCTCTCATTCTCTCTCTCTCTCTCTCTCTCTCTCTCTCTCATTCTCTCTCTCTCTCTCTCTCTCCTCCCTCCCCTCGCCTCCTCTCTCTCCCTCTCTCCCTCCCTCCCTCTATCATTTCGGATTTACAAAATACAAACAACAATAATTGTTACAATATAATGACAGACTTGGCACTGGAAGTCACGTAGCTTCCTATAGTGTGGCCTCCATGTTGTATTTAGGCCACGTTTCACATACGCTGACTTACCTCATACATATATATATATACGAATATGGGCGGCATGTAGTTTCGGCCATGAGGATCAAAGTTCCTGTTTTGCGTCGACCGCCCGCAAGTCCCGACAACACCCGCCCCCAAAATTACTTTTCAATAAATTTCATTATTATCTAAAAAGCTGCGCAACACACCAAAGGCTTTACTCCCTCGCAGCCACACCGTCAAATCTATGCAATAAACATATTTTGCGCTTCACTGTCTGCCATCACACACGCACACAAACACAAACACAAACACACTCATTATTTTTTTCTCTCTCTCTCTCTCTCTCTCTCTCTCTCTCTCTCTCTTCTCTCTCTCTCTCTCTCTCTCTCTCTCTACTCTCTCTTCTCTCTCTGCTCTTCTCTCTCTCTCTCTCTCTCTCTCTCTCTCTCTCTCTCTCTCTTCTCTCTCTCTCTCTCTCTCTCTCTCTCTCTCTCTCTCTCTCTCTCTCTCTCCTCTCTCTCTCTCTCTCTCTCTCTCTCTCTCTCTCTCTCTCTATTCTATATATATAATATATATATATAATATATATATATATCTTATATATATCCCCATATATATATATATATATATATATATATATATATATATATATATATATATGCCCCCATATATCCCTCCCCTTATCCGTCTGTACGTTTCCCTTCAGCCCCCCCCCCCCCCCCCCCTTGAGAAACTTCACCGAAACCGTCGACTCAAGTAAACACTCGACTGAGTTGCGAAAAAATGGCGACACACTCTTTTCTACGTTACACTTTTCCGAATCTGTTGCTCAAATGCGTTACTTTTTTTCCTTTTTCATTTGTTCATTTCTATTTTGATTCATCTATCATTATTATTTTGTAGATAACTGAAAGGAATTGGTAAGACGTAATTATTATCGTCATCATTACTATTATTACTGTTATCATTCTTATAATCATTGTTATAGTTATTATCATCATTATCATCGTTATCATTATCCTTATCATTACTATCATTATCATTATTGTTGGTATCACCATTATTATTATTATCATTATTATTATCAATATCATTATTATCATTATCATTGTTATTATCACTATTATCATTATCATTGTTATCATTATCATTGTCATTAATGATTTTATTATTGCTTTTATTACCAAAATTGATTTTGATGTTATTATTATATTCAATATCACTATCATCATTTTGTTTCTGTTTCTCTTTCTCTTTCTCTCTCTTTCTCTCACTCACTCTCACTCTCACTCTCTCTCTCTCTCTCTCTCTCTCTCTCTCTCTCTCTCTCTCTCTCTCTCTCTCTCTCCTCTCTCTCTCTCTCTCTCTCTCTCTCTCTCTCTCTCTCTCTCTCTCTCTCTCTCCTCTCTCTCTCTCTCTCTCTCTCTCTTCTCTCTTCTCTCTTTCTATTCTCTTCTCTCTCACTTTCTTCTTTCTCTCTCTCTCTCTCTTCTCTCTCTCTCTCTCTCTCTCTCTCTCTCTCTCTCTCTCTCTCTCTCTCTCTCTCTCTCTCTCTCTCTCTCTCCTCTCAT